CAAAATGTTTGTTACATCCGAATTATGGTTTCCAACCCATTGTTCACTTTTGTGTAAGGCTTATGAACGTGCACGATGTTCACGTGAGTAATCAAAGCGAAATAAAACATTGTGTCAGGTATGTAGAACTATCAAACAAAATAATTATTTAAAAAGGCTTTGTGAAAATATGTAAAATGTATGGTACATATATTCTTATTGTGATATGTAAATAAAAAAAATAAACGAAAATGAAATAAAGTTATGAAAACCTTGAGGGTTGAAGACGGAGTCAATGTATCAACCGCCGTCAGAAGTGAGACGACCGAATCAAACCTGAGCATAATTGTTCTTAATACCGTAAGTAAACTCTTGTGTCATGGAGATAGACGTTCCTAATTTATTTTTATACAATGTACCTTTCGTCCTTCAATGTTTAATGTTAGTAGTCTTTCTAGCAAAAATAAAGTCCGAGAGACCTTCAGACCTTTGCAAGAATTTTGTAAGAATTATTTCTGTGGTATGGGCTAAAATGATAGTTAGGATAAGTTTGGGAGTGCATGTTTCTAAGTTTGGACTCGTTTCAATCAGGTTACGAACATGAACGTAACTGACTTTTTTATATGGCGAGGAAATCGTTTGGAAGTAATAAAGGGTTGGATGAAAATGATTGATCTGGTATGTTTTCATTCTTCATATTTATTTGCCAATATGCCAATATGTTTTTTTAACTGAAAAAAAAAGGCCATTGGATTTGTTGGGTTGGCTTAATTCATTGAAACCTGCGTCGGACAAACTTGTCCTAGCAGCATGTCCACATAGATCTCGTCGTCCAAGTCAACTTGGGTGCAGATTGGATGTCACATACTCGGTGATTGTTCCCGGCTTGTGGTTTCTTCTGTTGTCGGGCCATGCACTAACTTTTAAGGCTAGGCACCGGACGGGCCAGCCGGCAGCAATTCCGGTGTTTATTTCTCATCATCAATTTTTATATTTGTTTGTAAGAGTATCGACTGTAAATGATATGATATAATTTTTGTGGCCCTTTTTATAGTTTTCGTAGTGTAACTGTAAATGGGATTGGTTCAGAGCATTTTGACTAGAATTTAGAGGCCTTACAAAATTGAAACCACTTCAGTCGGTGTGGCTTGTACGCTGGTGCGGTTTATACGCCGACTTCAAATCTTAATTTGCAGATTTTTGCGTGCTGTGGCTTATACTCTGCGCGGCTTATATTCCGAAAATTACGGTAAAAGTAAACTCTGTCCCGAGCCAATATGGCCCATCAGGCTGGCGTTTATCTCCAGTTTCAGTTGCATGAAATGACTTAAAATATTTCTATTCCCCCTGGATGGGATGCCAGTCCATCGCAGGTTACGCCCCAGCTAATGCCAGTACCCATTTTATACTCCTGGGTGGAGGGAGGCAAGTTGGGATGAAGTGGCTTGCCCAAGGACACAAAATATGACCAGCAGCTGGATTCGAACCCCTGACCCTCTGATCATGAGTCACGAACCCTAATCACTAGACCCATCTCCTCAAAGGAATGTTTATTGAGCGTCCCCCAATAAGAAATCTTATACCTTCCTGGGACCTCAACGAAGTCCTACAGTCATTAATGAAGCCCCCATTTGAGCCCCTGGGACAGGCTTCATTGTACCATATAAGTTTCTTAAAGTAGTGTTTCTCTTGGCTGTAGCCACCTCTCGAGAAGCAGTGAACTCCACTCCCTTTCGGTTGGAAGCCTGGTGTCCGGTGCGGGCTCTTACATGTAAATGGTACATCAGCCAGACCAGGGCACTACGTGAGAGGAACTCACAACTGTTTATAACAACAACACATCCTCACAGTGTGGCCTCACGTGACACCGTTGCTCGATGGATAGTGTCAGTGATTAAATTAGCAAACCCACATTGGCCTTCAATGGATGAGGGTTCATTTAAACAGAAGCTGTGTTGTTTGTTAGAAGACAGGATGGCAAGGATTCAGTAGTGATATTGGTATATTTGTTATCACTTAATCAACTGTGAACATTGGCAGCCATGTTGTTCGCTCGTACCCCCCCCCCCCCCTGCAAACAGGATGCTGGGATACTCTGATGAGCTTCACAGAATCTTGTGAAGGAAGTGGCCTATGACCTATGTATAAAGCATCTGGCTGCAGTTGTTTAAAACCGCAGTTAGATGTGCGCAAATGCTATCTGAAAACTTCCCATAGAAATGCGCACATTAAATACCGGATGTGATTTCTGTTTCATTGCGGACCATGTGGACAAAATTTTGAGCATCGCATAATGCAATCCGACCGTTCGCGATTCGAAACGGAGCCTGAGCAAGTGACGGGAATTGTGAATTTACAACACAGATAAGTTTTAAAGAATTTTGCTTTTTCAACAAAAAAAAACATCTCTAAACTGGAATAAAAGAGTAATGAATCAGTCTTAACGGCCGTTTCAAACCTTGCAGAGTCATGACCTTGATGACGCACAGGTCACAGGTCGCGCAAAGTCCAACCAATCAAAGTGCGAATTCATCAGAGTATCCCAGCGTCCTGTTTGCAGGGCGGGGGGTACGAGCGAATGGATTGGTCATGCAGTATGTAATATCAACACATCTCCCTCCTTTAAAGGTTTAAATCTATATATATAAGAGAGAGTTTAACTCGGCCTCCGAGACGATGTTTGCTCATGAAAGGATCCCAGACCGCGGGCTCCCGCGGCGCCAAAATCGCTCCACGTCCGTGGAAAAATGCGGAAGGTGTCTTCCGCCGGGTCGGACACTTCGGGTCGTCCTGATTTTCCGGTACGGACCGGCGATCCGTTTCGTCGATTTTTCGTGACTGCGTTTTGCGCAGGAATTTGCCGTCGTGTGCGCTTTCACGTTGACTGCCTGGCCGCCCTCTGTGCTGGCCTTTCTGCGTGTCTAGACTGTGCGAGGTCAGCGAGGTCAACGTAGGGGTTTCGTTTACGTGTTCTACTCGGCCGTACTGCCAAAGCGTTCACCAAACGGTAGCAAGGGGTGACCTTGGCAAAATATTTTTTCTCCATGGTGCGTGGCCACCAAGTATCCCTATTCTTTCCTGTGCTTTGCTTGCCGCCCCTGCGCCGAGTGCAACGAATACTCAGAAGGACTACACATTAGTATGCCTTGCGCGGTCTGACCAATCGAAAGTCTACACTGCGTGGTACTTCTCGGCTATGCGTAAAACCGTCGATGGCAACGCGTACTGCAGCCTGCTCCACACCCTGAAAACGAGGTTGAGTCTACGGTGCTTGCTATTTGAAGCGCAAGCATGTGACGTCGCGTGATAGAGCGCTGTTGCTTCCATAATGTGTTTACAGCTCCACGCTTCAACCACCAAGGCTGAGCGTTGTGAGTTCGCTGCACGCCACGTATAATTCAGTGTCGCGTGAAAATTTCGGGGGCCTGTTTGGGATCAACGAAGGATCGATGCATTGCTTCAACTTATCGCGATCTTAAACGCAATCACAAAAAAATCGACGAAAAAGACTTTAGTGTCCGACCCGGCGGAAGACACCCTCCACATTTTTCCATGGACGTGGAGCCATTTTGGCGTCGCGGGAGACCGCGGTCTCGGATCCTTTCAGGAGCAAACATTTCTCGGAGGCCGAGTAAAACTTGCTCTATAGATGGTTGCACCAACTTGAAAAGTTGAATCGACTTTTTCCTCGCCAGACGGCATGGCAAATTGTAAGAAGTTCAAGTTAACGTTTGTTGAAGAGTCCAATACTGAAACTTAATTATGACCTTCCTCCATATTTTATGGTTACACTCAACATTTTCATTTCAAATGACACCTTCACGTTTTATTGCATTATTATTTATTGTCAAAACTGTACAATCAGGCTTCGCCTGTGTACTACGGTAACCTTTTCACTACGTTTTCCAAATGCGACTGCCTCACGAAATGCCAATTTAACAGACCAACGGGAACACTTACAGACAGTTGCAGTGGTACATAATTATCATGTTCGTAAATCGACGGGGGACAGGGGGAACCCCCCCCCCCCCCGATCTATGATCGGGTAAATCAGCTTGTTCTAAATATCTGTGAGATGATCATGTTTAAGAAATCTGTTAAAGAAAAGGTCTTTTGTAAATGCTTCTGTGCCCTTTTCAATAAATGCAGATTCAGATCTCGTAATAAATTTTTGTTCTTGGTTTTCATAGACTGTAGGGAGACTGAAACTAAATTCTTTAATTCTAAACAATGTTAGTAATAACTTGAATAACACTGGATTAGATTTTAAACACTTTAACTGTTAGCTTAACTTCTTTTCAAACTATTAGCATGCAACTTCATGCAAAGTCCAATTCTTGAGTCTTTTGCAGGTGAACCACTTTGGCACATTTCACACGTTCAGTTTGTCTGGTGGCTTAACAACACAGCCACTTTAAGTCATTTTCAGGAGTTCCATGTTGCTTTGAGTTGGAGTACGTAGGCATACTGGCTGGAGTAGGCATACTGGCTGGAGCAGGCATACTGGCTGGAGTTGTGCTCACACTGGGTGTGCTGAATGCTTCTGGCATTGAGGTCTTGGTCGATGGGGCCTGTTCTACTGATGGTGTATCCAATGGAGAATGGTTAGATTCTTGCCCCTGTTGGTTGACAGTTGTCTTCCTCAGCATTTGTCTATACTTGCATTGTGTACCAGTGTTTGTCTGAACGTGCAATCTGGCACTTCAGCCTGGTTATTTAATACCAGCAACTAATCAAATAACTACATGTTTACTGCTGGAAAGGGGTTAAGTTCAGCAGGCTGTATCAGGCTTTATTGATTGGTAGCAGCTCTATTGTAAGGTACATGTAGTTTAGGTCTGGCAAAGGAAGATTTGAGGCCCAAGACTGAAGCTTTGCCTGACTAGTACATTGTAAATGGCAGGGCCCTATAATCCCGTCCTACCCCATCAGGAAATTCTAAGAGACACAAGGATCAAATGGACTCCAAAACATAGAAAATAAATGGAATAGGAACTGTTCATTTTTCTTCACTCCTGCAGAGCTGTGAAAGACTGTCATTATGTCCAGCATATTGCCAGTCCATTTCCGGTTAATAATCCAAAAGATGAGAATGAGGTGATCGTCCCTGCTGTTGATGGAACTAAAAATGTTCTTCGAGCATGTGAAAAATCATCCACAGTCAAACGTGTAGTGCTAACAAGTTCTACAGCGGCAGTGGCAGGTGAGTAGATGAGTTAAGAAGATGAAGTGTTAGAATCAAGATTTTTTTTTTTCATTGTGGCAAATACGTGGTCCAAGTAACTTGGACCTAACTTATCACCTTTTTAACATTCGGACGTGGTCTGGTGATTCTAGGGTCCCAGCAAAAACACTGCCATGGGGCGACACAATTCTGCCGTTGACCAAAAAGCTGACATTGCCCAACAAAACCATCAGATTTCACCCTCAAAACAGCCTCCAAATTACTAGAACGCCACCTGAGTTACAAGTAGACATAGATGATTAAGATGGAGGTACTGAAGTTTACTTACGATCCGGATGAAAAGTGAAATTTCCCATTCAGTTCCAAGAGCTCCCCTCACGATCGTGAACGTGTTCAATTTCTGACTCGCTTGAACAACGGGATGTGGTCGTGCTCAGCGTTCATTCGATGGTCCTGGTATCCCGGGCGCGATTCCATTACCGAGTGCGATGCATCGGTTATGATAATGAGTAGACTGGATCTCGTTTGTAAACATGAACTTATTTCAACTATGAAAGGGAGTCAGGAATTACATTGTACCTTGAACTGGTTTCCGCTCATAAAAGCCCTAGTTCCCGACTCCCTACTATCGTTCGAAATGCCCTTGTATTTACAAACAAGATCCAGTCTACTCGTTATCATAATTGATGCATTGCGCTCGGTAACGGAGTAGCACTCGGGATATATGGGAATCATTGAGTGATATGGGGGGAGGGGGGGGGGTTTCAAATTATGTTTTTAATGTATTTCTATGAAAGACAAATTTGATATTTTTGTGTGATTCGTTTCTTTCCTTCTTCAAACATGCACAAGTAATAACATTACATACAGAAAAACACATTATTGAAATTTGAATCAATCAAGTATGTATATTATTGAATGACCAGACATGTTTTTCCTCATTTAACCCCCCCCCCCCCATTTTTTTGGTTTACTGAAGTGACACAATTTGCAAACAACTGAAATACGGTACATAAAATCAGTCCTTCTGATTAGAAAATCACAGGTGTGTGGAAAAAGGCACACCTGGATTTTTCTAGGCGTTTTTTTCTAGGTGTGTCATTTTCTAAGTGTGTGATCTGTGGTCCAGGGAAATTCAGGCGTGCAATTATTCACACTTCTCGGGAAGCTTTTAGGTGTGCGATGGTGTGGGGGTGTGATCGCACGCCTCAAATCAGAAGGACTGTAAAATGTACATGCCCTACCTACAGACACACGTACATAATCTGTACACATGCATGTACATATGTATACATAATACATACATGTATACACATAAAACATACGCGTACATGTACAATAATACATGTACATGTACATAATACATGTCAACCGTAGTTCGTGAAATTTTCATTTTTGTCTAATATGGCCTAATATTTTGTGCAATGAATGACTGATTTACAGTGTTGTAGTCGAGTCACCAACATCGAGTCCGAGTCCCGAGTCACAAGCCTCGATCGGAGTCCCGAGTCACAAGCCTCGAGTCCGAGTACGAGTCTCGAGTCAAAAGCCTTGAGTCTGAGTCCGAGTAACAAGTCACATATGTTCTTAGTTGTTCACCAAACTAATACTTTAAAAAAAAATTATTTTTCAATCATCCATTCTGTCTTTTAAGTAAATCCTTGTGTATATACCGTAGTCTACTTCACTTTACTTACCTGTAGAGCAATTACTGCTTTTGCATATTCCCTATACCGGCAGGTATTTCACGCTAAGAGTTTTATACACTAGCGCCCTCTGGCGACCTACCCATGATACCCCCAATCAAAAGGCACGCTCCGGCAAGGTTCATCCAAAACATATCTCCTGTGCCGGAGCGAAGCCTAAAAAGGGCCGACAGGGCAAGCGTGGCTCGGGTACAAGTGCCGCTATAGACCCCGGCCCTCCCACGAGTGCGGGGCAGCTCGAGGGGACTAGCCGCCACGCTCCAGTGGGCTTTAATCACCCGTGCCCTCCCGACACAGTGCCCAGTACCACTGGTTGCCGGGACGGGCTATTACACGGGCTATCGGACCGACCAGCATTCGCTCAGCCCACGGGGCCTGAGGCGCTGTCGGCCGAGTATGTTATGAGCGATGTGGAGCCGGTCGCCCGGGGGGATCCCGGCCCAATGGCCCCCGGTCTATTTCACTCTGAGGGACAACTATCGTCATCGGATTTTTTCCGTTGTTCGGGGGTCCCGATGCCCCAGGTGTCTTCTGACATGTCGTCAGACACACCCCGGGGCCGTTCTTCAAAGAAGAAAAGCAAGAAGAAGAAGACTGATCGCCGATCACGCCGCTCTTCTTCGGATTCGGACCCACCGGGGCAAACGCTCCCGACGTGAGGACTCGATCTCGAGGTCTGATTTTCTGCAGGCATTTCAGTCAATTTCAGCTACGCTGTCGGCTATGTCTGCAGGCCGCCAGGCGGGCCCTATTGGTGCCCCCCCGGAAACGGCAAGCTACAGCCACCACCGCGTGGTTCTGTACAATTTCCCCTCCAGACGGCTCTCGTTCACCGGAGTCTACTCGGCCCTCACAATCGGCTGATTCATCCGATGTTGACGAAGAACCAGACCAATTACAGCGGCTCTCCATTACTGAAATGGAGCTTCGTTTAGTACAAAGAGACATGATACGGGTACTTAAATTACCCTCCGCTGATGAGCCCCCTCCGCCCGATCATAAGTCATTCAAGTGTCAGACGGGCTCCACATCTACCAGTGACAAAGTGTCCCCATACTTCCGTTGGATCAAGTATGTGTGGAACACATCGACAACATTATGTCACCAGACAAATGGCGTCCTTTTCCCAGACGGGAACTAGATTACTATCATTTCCCGCGGGAAGATTTCACCTGGGAAGTTCGAAGAACATATGAGAGATGAAGCCAAACGTCTGAAGGCCACTGAAAAGATCAACTTCAAGAAGCCTTCAACCCCAGTGACCAAGGGACAACAGAGCAAAGCCAAAACGTCGTTTGTTGTCCCTCGATGCAAACCACTTAAATCTAGTCGTGGTGGGTTTCGTGGCCGCACCGATAACAATTCCGGTGCGCATGCCACGCAGACTCGCATGTTCTCTGGACAGCAACAGCCCCAATCCAGCCGTGGCTTCCGGGCGTCGGCCCCCCGATATCCTGGGGGTTGGCGCAAATGACTTACTAGACTCATGGCGGCCTCCTGCCGTTGGACCCGTGGGAGGCTGTCTGCGAGACTTTGCGGGGTCCTGGGCTCAAATTACGTCCGACCGATGGGTGCTCGACTTAATCGAGTGCGGCTACGCACTCGAGTTCTCGACCTCCCCACTGTCGGACATGATCGTTCGGCCCACATCAGTGCCGTCCGATCCATCAAAATGCCTCTCTCTCGGGGGGGGGGGGGGGATCAACTCTCTTCTCAAGAAACGTGCAGTACGCACGCTCCCCCCCGGGGGAGACGCGAAAGGGCTTCATGTCGACCTTCTTCTTGGTCCCCAAGAAGGAGGTTGGCATTTGGCGCCCAATCTTAAATTTAAAGCCCCTCAACAAGTTTATTCGGCCACGACATTGTATGGACACGCTCAGAATAATACTGGAGTCGGTCCACACACCGGCCTGTGGGGCCAGCCTAGATCTGAAGGACACGTATTTACACGTCCCAATCAGAAGAGACCATTGGAAGTTCCTACGCTTCCAGTACCAGAACATCCAGTACGAGTTGATGGTGCTTCCTTTCGGCCTCTCAACCTCACCCCGAGTCTTCATGCGGTTAGTGAAGACAGTCGGGGCCGCACTACGGAAACAAGGGGTAATGATTTTCATGTACCTCGACGATTGGATCATCGTGGGTCCATCTCAGGCAACCACGCCAGTGGCACTCAACCGGACATGGCGGCTTGCGTCGGATCTCGGGTTTATCATCAACACCGAGAAATCCCACCCACTTCCGTCCCAGTTCCCAATCTTTCTTGGGGCATCGCTCGACCTCAAGAAGGGATTGGCTCGTCCTACGGAGGAACGGATTGTCAACCTTCAGAGGTGCATATCCCTGTTCCTTCCGGCAACCGTGGCCCCAGCACGGGCCTGGCTCAAGCTCCTCGGCCTCAAGGCCAGCATGGTAGATGTCGTGAATTTCTGCAGGTTGAGGATGCGGCCCATCCAACTACACCTGCTGTCATTCTACCGTCCCAGTCGTCACCACATACAACATCTGGTGCTGACCACTCCTTGGCTAATACCACACCTCCGTTGGTGGCTCGACAATGCCAACCTCACGGAGGGGCGTGCTTTTCACGAACCCAAGCCGTCAGTGACCATCTCAACAGACGCGTCACTTTCTGGCTGGGGGGCCACCCTCCACCCACGTCAAGTGGCAGGTCGGTGGGGCCCCGAAGACTGCTCAAAGCACATAAACATACTGGAGATGCTGGCAGTCACCAATGCTCTCCAGCATTTCAAGGCATCAGTGGTAGACCGAGTGGTTCGCATTCAAAGCAACAATACTACAGTAGTGGCCTACATAAACCGCCAAGGGGGAACGCGATCCGCTCAACTGTGTGCGCTCACGTGGGAGCTCCTTCATTGGTGCATGCGCCACAATGTAACGCTCTCGGCAGTTCATCTCCCAGGCGAAGAGAACGTCGCGGCCGATGCTCTCTCCAGGGGGTGGGTCATTCCGACGGAATGGACCCTGTGCCCACAGATTGTCCAGTCGCTCTTCCTTCTGATCGACCGGCCTCATGTGGACCTGTTTGCTTCTCGGAGCAACCACCAATTACCAGTCTACTGCGCGAGGACCAACGATCCCTACGCACTGGCAATACAATGGGACGGGCTACTGGCCTACGCCTTCCCCCCGTTTTCCCTCATACCTCGGGTGCTGTTCAAGGTGGAGCAGGAGGATTGCGAGGTCCTCCTCATAGCCCCTTTTTGGCCCCGCCAGCCTTGGTTCCCGAGACTCATCAAACTCCTGGTTCACCGACCAGTGATTCTTCCGCAGAGAGCATACATCCTGTTC